TATATATATATATATATATATATATATATAAATGAAAACATCTGGCCTGATGTTTTAAGGTCAGTGTAGTATGGTCATTTTCCTGAACTATTACCTTCTGCATCATGGTTGTTACTGGGCACACCAGTTCCCCAAGCATGTGGTATCTCATAGCAAAACAACTGTGTGTGATCGTCTCTTCTAAGTGGTTTGAAGCATCCTGTCACCACAGGCTTCACCCTATGCTCTCCAGATGATGATAATGAAAAATATATTACTGATATTTTTTTCCCTCACAATATTTTAAGCAGAATAGATAGCTATAGGGATAGCTCAGTGAGTAAAAGTGCTTGCCACCAAGCCTGACAATAACCTGAGCTTGGGTTCCAGGGATTCACACAGTGGAAGGAGAGAACTGACTTCTACACGTCGTCCTCTGACCTCCCTGTGCATTTGGTGGCATGCACACCCATACCATAAATAAGTAAATTCAATTAATTAAAATGCTTTAAACCAAGATACATACAATTTATTGATCAACGTTAAGGTGCATTACCTGCTAAAAAATGCCAGCATGGTCTCGTGGATTGGAATCATCTGGACCTTGCCGTTCAGCTGCAGGTAAACCCACATGAGTAAGGTTTTCAGGAGATGGAACTCACTAAAGGTGAACAAGCTGGTCAAAATGACAGATGGAGAAGAAATGTTAGGACTAGGAGGAAAAAGCCACTTGTAAGAAAAAGAAAAGGTAAAAATAAGCCTGGGGGTGGGACACAGCCAGCCGGAGTCTGTAAGTGGCCTCAGACAATGAGATGCTGAGTAACTTGTTTGGGGTGACTCAGCTCAGCTGAGGGAGAACTAGGAACCGGAGGCTGGGCCCTGAGCTCTCAGCCACCTGCCATGCCGTTACTGACGTGATGATCTCATTTGGTGAGCTCTCACTAAATGCTGTGTTTTCAAGTCATTATAGGTTCTACTGTAATCCCATAGCACAAGCCTATGAAACTGAGATAGGCGTGCCTGGCTTTGATAGCTGTTGAAGTTGGTCCTAGCCTTGTGTTTATTTAGCATTTCAATTTGTGTTCATTGTAGCTCTCTGCATTTATTTTAATTTTGATACATTGCACACAGATACTTGATAAGTTAGGTTATTCAATCAGCCATTATCCCTTCTTGCCTGCTAGATTTTGCAGCCAAAGTGAGTGTCTCATTGGCCTCACTGGACCTTGGTCTTGCTCGAGGCTGAAATGAATAACTTATCTCAGGTCACACTGTTCTGGGCTCAGACCCAGGCATGGGTCTGGAACCTCTGGGATAGGGCTATGATCCCTCAGCTGTGAAAGGGCAATCCTAGCCACTTCTCAGAATGGCAGTGGTGAAGACCAGAGGAGAGGACTCACTGTGTAAGTGTCCAGCTGTTGCTGTAACTGTCACAGGGCAGCTTAAGAGGACACACATTCATCATGGTTCTCTGGAGGTCAGAAGTACAAAATGGAGCTCACTGGGCTCTGATCACGGTGTGAACAGGATCAGTTAGTCCTTCCTGGAGGCTCTAGGGAGAATCTTTCCCCTGCCTGTCTTGGCACCTGGAAAGCTCTGTCATCCCCTGGCTTTGGCCCCTTCTTTGGCTGAGTCAGCAACGCAGCGTCTTCTGATGGCCTCTGCCTCCGACTCTTCCCTTTCACACATGGTTAAAAGCCTTCCTGTGACACGTTGGGCTGACCCCCAGGGTAGCCTTGATTTTTGAAGTCAGCCAGTTAGCAACCTTCATTCTACCTGCAACCCCAAATCACCTTTGTCGTGGTACTCTAACAGAGTCAGAGGTTCTAGGGATTATGTGGGCATTACTGTGCTGACCACACACAGATAAAGTACTTAGGACAGTGCCCGGCACAGGACAATGTGCTCAGCCATGGCAGGTCTTACTCAAAGTGGCAGCAATGGCTGCTGGCTCCAGAGCCCATGCCATGGCCACAGCAGCAAGAATCCACAATGTCACTTGGTGTGGTGGAGCATCATCTCAGCACTTGAGAGGAAGAGGCAGGTGGATCTCTGTGAGTTTGAGGCCAGCCTGGGTTACACAGCGAGTTCCAGGACAGCCAAGGCTACACAGCGAAAGCCCACTATATCCAAAGCCACTCTGTAAGGCCTCAGGCTTCTGCTGGCTCCACTAGCAAAGGAACTGTTTCAGCACTTCTTAACCCCACTGATATTTCTGGTGTCAGACCCTGGGCACAGCTCCTGGCTGTAAAACATGTCATAGCCTCTTCATTCCTCACCTCAAGGGGTCATCGTAGGTGGAAACCGGGCCAAATCGTGTCTCTAAAGAGCAACGCAAATGCAACCCTCCCACCTCCCACTCTATTTCTGGACACCGTATAATTGCTTCGTTCCTTGTGTTTGTCTCCAGGCCACCTACAGGCGCACTGTCTTGAGTCTGGCCAGACAGAACCAAGTTGGTCACTGTCTGGGCCACAGCAGCAAGACAGGAAAGGGATGTGCTTCTTAGAGGCAGATGCCACGTCCCCATAGAGAATTTAGGCAGCTGGGTCGGGGGGCTGACTGTGTGGCTTCTAGAGGAGATGCTACACATGTGGCCTTCAAGTCTAGAAAGTTTCTTGAGACCTTTCCACGTCAGAAATAACAAGAGGGATGATCTGATTCCATCACTTGGGTCCTGGCTTTTATTACGACATTTGCTGAAGTTGAGGTCTCTGCATTTAGGACAACATCAGTCTCTAAAAGCATTTCTAGGCATATCCAAGCTGCAGCCCTGCATGCCACGTGCACCCCAGGAGAGTGATAGATACATCTTAATATAAAATCATAAATTTATTGAAAGCATTGTGAGATTTTTTTGTCTTTTTTTTTTTTTGTAACTTCATTGCACGTTCCTTGAACATTGTAGATGACAATGCTGTCTCAATGTCAGCTGCATGTGACATGGCAGCATTAACCCCTGCAGGAAGTAACCACAAGGAGAACATTGGCACACACTTTGAACTAATCCAAGAGCTTTGGAGACTTTAGTGCAGATGGAACTCAGTCTTCTGCCCGGCACTATGCATTTTCTCTGGTATTTGCTTGCAGTCACCTCGATGTAACCGATACTTGTTCTTTAGGAGAAAATCGTCATCATGCACAAGACACTATCTTCTTATTCTGTTTTTCAAGGAAATTGCTGTGCATAAACAATAAACCTCCTTTCTGAACACTGACCGTGGAGAAAGCCACGCCCACGTGAACAGGCTATGAACAAGGACATCCATTACTGCTCTGTGTGTCATAGCAAAAAGACTAAATAAAATAAAAGGCCTTTAGAAGAGGAATAAAAAGAGATGGTTGTGGATTTGTTCCATAGAACCCTGCACAGAACTCAGAATTAGAAAATCTGATTGAATACATCAGCATGGGTTGGGAAGGAGCACAGAGCCTGGCCTCAGTGAGTAGGTCATGGTACTGCCCTACCGCCACAAGGATGCTGATTTGCAAGACAATATAATCTGTTTTTCTGGATGTACAAGTATGCAGATAGAGTTCACACACATGACTGGGGGTTCCTACAAGCACCTACCAGCCATTCCCTTGTTTTTAGGAATGGTCTAGCACTGGAGGGAAGAGGTGAATTGCTTTGTTGGTAACATTCTGTTGTTACACTTTGTTTGTTTGTTTGTTTGTTTGTTTGTTTGTTTGTTTGTTTGTTTGAGACAAGGTCTCACTACATAGTTTTGGCTGTCCTGGAGCTTACTATGTAGACAAGACGAGCTTCAAACTCATAGAGATCTGCCTGTCTCTGCTCCTGAGTGCTGGGATTAAAGGTGTATGTGTCACCACTCCTGGCCTGATATTTTCTTGCTTGCTTGCTTTTCTTACTTTTGTTTTTCTGTGTAGCCTTGGCTGTCCTAGAACTCACTCAGTAGACCAGTCTGGCCTTGAATTCAGAGATCCACCTGCCTCTGTCTCCCAAGTGCTGGTATTAAAGGTGTGCACCACCACTGCTCAGCAATTTATTTCTTAATTTATGATAAAATGTTACTATTTATTCATTTAAAGCAGTGAATGTATTGTTTTCTGTATAAAAATTTGTCCAGTAAAATGGGCCAGAGAGATGTCTGAGTAGGTAAAGGTGTGACAAGTCACCAAGCCTGATGACCTAAATTCAATCAATGGGACTCATGGTAAAAGAAGAAAACTGATTCCCACAGGTTGTCCTCTGACTTCCACACATGCATCAGGACATGTGCATGCACACACTCATGCATGAGCGCTGTGAATGTGTTGCTCTGATAGGTTGATAAATAAAATGCTGATTGGCCAGTAGCCAGGCAGGAAGTATAGGTGGGATAAGCAGACAAGGAGAATTCTGGGAAGAGGAAGGCTGAGTCAGGGATCACCAGCCAGACACAGGAAGCAAGATGACAAGGCAGAACTGAGAAAATATACCAAGCCACATGGCTAAATATAGATAAGAATTATGGGTTAATTTAAGTGTAAGAGCTAGTCAGTAATAAGCCTGAGCAAATAGCCAAGCAGTTATAATTAATATACTGTGTTTACTTGGGGGACACAAGTGGGAAAGATTTGTCTCAACCGCCGACTGGCTGGGACACAGGATAACTTCTAGCTACAAAACATAATACAAAAATTTTGTTTGTTTGTTTTGTTTGTTTGTTTTTTGTTTTTCGAGACAGGGTTTCTCTTGTGTAGCTTTGCGCCTTTCCTGGAACTCACTTAGTAGCCCAGGCTGGCCTTGAACTCACAGAGATCCGCCTGCCTCTGCCTCCCGAGTGCTGGGATTAAAGGCGTGCGCCACCACCGCCCGGCCTACAAAACTGGTTTCATAGGTATATTATAGTCTGGGGACAGCCATGGCTCGAAGGGAGTTTTAACCTGGGTTCAAATCCAGCTCACCTGCTGTGTGGGGTGGTGGAGGGGAAACACAGCTTTGACTAATCCTTCATTTCCCATGCTCTCTGTCTCACAGGTGAAAACTGTAGAAGAAAGGACGCAGCACATGGGGTTGCTGTGGGGAGGAGCCTTCTGGACACCCACTCAGAGTGTTCTGTGTTTGGCAAGTACTCAATAATTGGTAGGCATTGTTCTTGTTTGCCAGAGAAGGACCAGCTTCAGAAATCCCATGTGGGACTGCTCAGCATCACGCACCCTGTCAAGAGTGTGGGACGGGTGTGACAAGGATGACAGGTGTCTTTTTTTTTCTTTAAACAATATTGTGTGTGTGTGTGTGTGTGTGTGCATTCCATTGGGTAGGTGAGTATAAGTGCACATGTGTTCTGATCTATGTGAAGCCAGAGAACAGGTGTGGGTGCTCAGCTCTCACCTTCCACCTTGTTGAGGCAATAGCTCCCTTGTTTCTGCTGCAGCCCGTACCCCAGGCTAGCCCTTGAGCTTTTAGGCCTCCGCCACCCATCTCATAGTTGGAGTGCTGGGATTACAGATGTGCACCACCACATCCAGCTTTTTACTTGGGTTCTGGGGATGGAACCCAGGTCATCAGGCTTACACAGCAAACACTTTTTACCTGCTAGGTCACCTCACTGTGTCTTTTGTTTAGGGAATTCCCAGGATTCTGAGCTTCCCTGGGCCACAGATAGGAAGCAGGGCATCTTGGAAGGCGGCTAGGCTCACCACTATACCACCAACAAAGAGGAAACAGAGGAAGCGGGCCTCCTGTTGTAGGGTACCCTTTTGTGTAGATGGGAACTGGAATGTCCTTGGGGCTTCCAGGAACACAGAACTTGGAATGAGGTTTTCATAAATTAGGGTTCGTAGAACAAGGCTCACCTGGTGGTGACCTCTACAAGGAAAATGAACTGAGAACCACATTCTAGGCAAACAAATTAAGCCCAGAGGCCCAGGAGGTCAGGAAAACAGTGTATATTTGTATATAGTTTGCAAAATGGAAAGTAAAACCAAAAAAAGATGAGGTCAAGGGACTTTTAGAGAGGAAATGCTGGACAGTCCAGAGGTAGAGGCTTCTGCTGAGAAAGGCTATTGATTCTTGTGCTTTTCTCACAGGCTGGGGTAAAGTGGCAGTGGGTAGCCAGCAGGTCAGCTGAGTGGGGCCCGGAAATGCTCTACGGGGCCCGGAAATGCTCTACGCCTGTGTGTGTGTGTGTGTGTGTGTGTGTGTGTGTGTGTGTGTGTGTGTGTGCATTCCATGCTTCCTGCTCTGGATTCACACAACCTCTCAGGACACATAGCCCCAGGCCTGGTTTACCTCTTTCTGAGAGGCCTCACTTCCATGATGACTAGGAGAGGGTGTCATGTTGGAGGCAGGATGTGGGCCCAGGCGCCCGCAGAGGCCCTGCCCAGCTCTCCACTAGCTGTCTGCTCTAAGAGGTGGTGACTTCTGTCGTGCCAGGCTGGGGGTGCTGAAAGGGCGAACATGCAGTACAGCACTTGGTGAGGGCTCCGTTACTGGAGGGGGTGTTCCCTCTTGATTAGAGGTGGACAGTGGTGGTGCCAACCCTTCTCAATGAATGCCCCGACAAGAGAGCCTCTGGCCTGGTTACATTCCTTTCTTATTTCCTTTATACGTATATGCATGTGTGTGTAGAGGCCAGAAATTGATATTAACTGTTTTCCTCAATCACTCTCTGCCTCATTTTCTGAGAGGGCCTCTCCCTGACTGAACAAGGCTGGATGACCGCTGGGCTCCTGGGATCTGTCTGACTCTACCTTCCCAGCGAGGGACTGCAGACCGGAGCTGCTGTGAACCCAGTGGCCACTCAAGATCGAGTTCCGCTTAAGAGGAAGTGAGGCGCCTGGGCTGCCTGAGTCTTTGTCCACTGTGTGAGCTGAGGACGTAGGCCCTTAGGCAGGAAACCCTGGCCTAACTGCACAGGTGCCTCCTGCACAGAGCCAGGACAGGACCCAGTTTCCACCTCATGTCTGCCAGGCTGGCGAGTCTAGACATTTGACACGTAATGCTCTGGAACTATTTTCCTGCCTGGTGAGCATGCTGTCAGGCCTGGATCATCACCGATGTTCTGGCTGTGGTCAGATGTTTTTTCCCCCTCTTTTTCAGTGAAATGTTACCACTGTAGGACAGCTCAGCCTTTCCAAGGGAGGGATGGGTGGTGTTATGTAATGTCTAAGGACGCCATGTTTACGTGTTCTTCACTTTCCTGACCTTTGCTCTGTTGGAGGGTGGAGTGGAGGGTGGTGGGTACAAGAGTAAGAAAAACATAGGGAACCAGAGCAGAGTGTCTGGGGCCCACCAGAGCCCTGCGGCTCTGGAACTGGCTTCCGGGATCTTCCTAGATAATGGTGTCCCTCACTACCAGGACTCTGCCTTGCTGACCTCCCTCCTCTGTTCATGTGAGGGCATTGGGTGTCATTTAGTAAATCTAAATTGCAAAACAGGTTAATAATCCAGCATGGAGCAACACACACACACACACACACACACACACACACACACACACACACACACAGGCCAACTGAGGGAATCAGGTGTCCTCTTCTTCTATTGCTGTCTGCCTTATCCCTTTGAGGCAGAGTCTCTCCCTGACCCTGAAGCTCACATTTTTCTTCTAGCCTGGAGGCCAGCAAGCCCTAGCAATCCCCCCATCTCTACCACTCCCCAACACTGGGGTTATGGGCATGTATGGGATCATGCTCAGTTTGTTATGAGGTGCTGGGATCTGAACTCAAGTCCTCATGCTTGTACAAACGGCATTTTTACGCATGGCACCATCTCTGTGGCTCTTTTATACAGAATTTCTAAAAATCAAGATACTTTCTACCACCTGAGCACAACAAGCATTTGTGGTTTTTAATTTTACTACTAATATTTCTTTAAAGTAGAATATGATTCCCACCTTTGAAAGTCACCCAAAGGGAACATGTCTTTAGAAAATGTCCGTGAGTACCAAGATCCATCTAAAAAGAGACTTGTTCTAGGTGCCTTCCTGATGCTGTGATATAACACTGTGACCAAAAACAACTCAGGAAAGGGAAGGGCTTATTTCAGTTGGCACTTCTAGGGCACAGTCCATCCGCAAGGCAAGTGAGGACAGGAACTCAAGCATGAACTGAAGCAGAAACCATGGAGGAACACTGCTTATTCTCTCTCTCATTTTCTCCCTCTCCCTCTCCCTCTCCCTCTCCCTCACTCTGGTTCATGCTCAGCTAGCTTTCTTATACAGCCCAGGTCCATTTGCCTAGGGATGGTACCACAGGGGCTGGGCTCTCTCACATCAATCAAGACATTTGCCACAGACATGGCCATAGGCCAGTCTTTCCTGTGCAGTTCCTCAGTTGAGGGAGGTTCCCTGTTCCCAGGTGACTCTAGGTCATGTCAAGTTGGCAATAAAAATTAACCAGCACACTTTACAACTGAGTATAATATGTGGTCTTAAACTAAACTTTGAATCAGAGGGAGAAGAAATAATGATACCGGGTCAGTGATATCCAAGTATCATGTCAATGGCAAGCTTCCTGAAGATAATTGCCTTGTCATCATATTTTTTTAAAAATTCCCTTTCTTGAGGCTGGGGGGATGGCTCACAGGTTAAGAGCACTGGCTGCTCTTCCAGAGGTCCTGAGTTCAATTCCCAGCAACCACATGGTGGCTCACAACCATCTATAACTGTAGTCCCATGGGTCCGATGCCCTCTTCTGGTGTGCAAATGTACATGCAGACAAAAATACCTCTATTTATAAAATACATAAATAGAGAAATATTTAAAAAAAATCTCTTTCTTAGGAAACCATCTCTGATGGCATTTGGGGTATAGGAGCACTTGTACATAGCTTACTCCAGTTCAGAGGTGTGTGTGTGTGTGTGTGTGTGTGTGTGTGTGTGTGTGTGTGTGTATTTACATATATGCAAATAATGAGGCAAACGGAACAGGGACAGAACACTAAGGTGGGTAACTCAGGGCAAAGGGTGTACCTGGGAGTGACAGTGGTTTGATTGAGTTTTTCTGCTCTATGATAATGTAAAAAACACCCATATTCAGTAGAAAGCAAGGTTCAAATCTTGATCTTTTCCTCAAAGAGTGATAAGTGTGATGTGGTCCTTTCTCACGATGTTGAGTGACCATCCTGGTACGGCAGCCCTATCAGCCAAGAGATCACAACAGTGAACACTGGACACCCTATGGTGGCCATATGGCTGGGCTGTGAGGTCAGGGAAATTAGAGGCATCCCAATGCATCTTCAGCGTGGGTTGTGCTTAGATGAAGATGGCTGTAGTCAGAGGTAAACCATTGCAAACTGAGGAGCCAATGTTCTTTCCACTATTCTTGTTTTTCCTGAAGTTTGAAATTTTCGAATAAAATATGTTTAAAAGAGGAATTATAGCCGGGCGGTGGTGGCGCACGCCTTTAATCCCAGCACTTGGGAGGCAGAGGCAGGCGGATCTCTGTGAGTTTGAGGCCAGCCTGGGCTACCAAGTGAGTCCCAGGAAAGGCGCAAAGCTACACAGAGGAACCCTGTCTCAAAAAAAAAAAAGAGAAATTAAAAACAGTCTTTTCATCTTGGCAATTTCATTTCTAGAGGTATAACATAAGGAGATAATCTGAGATGAAGAAAAATACACACTGAAGGCCAGTTACTAAGATGCAAATGTTGGTAAAACATCAGGAATTGGGTAAACGCCAAGAACTGGCCATGGCTCCATCAACAGCTGGAGAAAGCAGGAGACATAGCTTGACAGGACAGGACAGGGATTTCCAGCAGGAGGAAGCATGCACAGCTTGGCTACCCCTCTGCAGAGAGTCCGAGGAAGGTCCCTGTGTGGCTGTGACAGACCAGGAGATAGTAGAACCAGATTTGCTTTGTAGAGATCAAAGCCAGAGCAAGATCCACATCAGAGGTGTCTCATTAGAGGGCCTTGCCACGGGCCATGATGATGGAGGCCTGGCCTTGGGGTGGCACTGGCATCTTGGAGTGCTCAGTTTGGAAACAGAATTGGCCTCCTGGTCAAGGTGAGGTCGAAGTGGTGTCCAGAGGACTGCCAAGGTTCTACTGTGTTCTGAGGACACTGAGCCTGGAGAGGGGTGTGCAGCAAGAGCTGGGGACTCTGAAAGTTGGGGTATTTGCCTTTGACAGAGAGGCCAAACAGGCAGTGGATATCCAGGTTTAGAAATAGTCAGTAAAGGAGTAAGGACTAGAGATAAAATCTTGTCTGGGGTGAGAGATTTTTCTTCTCTTTTTCTGCCTTTCCTTGTTTTCCGTAATTAATGTAAAAGAATATTGTCAAACTTTCTTTTCTTTTCTTTTAAATAATGACCTAAGCAATAGTTCCTTGCTTTTCTGGCCTCGGCAGGTAAGGAGACAGCTGACAGCAGCACATCTCACCTAGAAGGAGCATAAAGGACCTGACCCCACATGTGATACCCCGAGCTTCAGCTCCCATCCAAGGCCTAATTGTCCAGGAGAGTGGAGAATTGGGAACTACAGTCCACAGCGACCTGTAGGTGTGTCCACCACTGGCATATCTCCTTCCCGCCCCTAAACCCCACCCCCAACAGCCCCTGTTTCTTCCCACACCCTCCCTGGAGGCAGCACACCAGCTCTGACCTGGGGGACTTCAGCACCTTGTGAAGCAGATGCTGAGGGATGTGCCGGAGGTGGATCTGTGTCCCGACTAGAGGTACCAAGTTCATTGCCAGCCACTTCTCGCAGGAGACAATGAGCTGCTCTTCCATGTACTGAGGAGGCAAAAGAGAAAGGGATTGGATAAAGCATGGCTGGTTCCTCAGCCCCCTCTGCTGGCTAGCGGTGACATTGCGTACAGATGTGTCCCATTTTCATACAAACTACACTGGGGTCAGCACAGGGGGCGGGGCGGGGAGTAGGGTCGGGGAAGGTGGGGAGTGTGAAGGGGTGGAGGGGTGGAGGGGTGGAGGGTATTCACAGAGCATTGAACTTCGCTGATTTAAACCACCCCTATGAGATCGGCTCCCAATTATCTCTATGTCACCAGTGGAGAAACTGAGGTTCCACAGTGCCTTCTCTTTCTGTAATCATAGAGTAACTGGCCCAGCTACTATTCAGGCTGCCTGAGCAGAGGCTGGCATGCTGAAGGCCCTGGGCTGCCTTCGATGACCCACTGCAAGTCTGGGGAAGAATAAGCCACGTGGAGCTCAGAGGCTGCTCCAACATACCTTTTAGAAGAAAGAATTAAAAGACAGGACCTGCAGGGGAGGTGGGCACACAGTCCCACCCAGGAAGCTATTGGCCATTGATAGCTGCTGGAGAGAGTGTTTTTAAATCCGTGGCCCCTAGCAAGTCAACCAGGCTCCGAGAGCATAAAGCCAGCACAACAGTACTCAGTAGGTTGTAAGCAAACTCACGGACAGAGGACGCACATTGTGGTGCTTAGGGAAAAGGAAAGGCTGTGGGAGGACATGGGGGAGGGGTTGAATATGATTCAAATACACTCTACAAAATCATCAAAGATCTAATAAAAAACAAGAGGGGGAATGTGAAAAACGACTACTAGAATCAGGGAGATCTCGAAAGGATCTTGGTTGACCTTGTGTGTCCTAAAGGACCTTGCATGTCCTGAGGACATAGGTTGAGAGGGTCTTGGCAGACCTTGCATATCCTGAGGACATGTGTTGAGAGGGTCTTGGTAGACCTTGCATATCCTGAGGACATGGGTTGAGAGGGTCTTGGTAGACCTTGCATGTCCTGAGGACATGGTTGAGAGGGTCTGGGCAGACCTT